TTTTAACACTTAAGTGACTTTATTTTTAATAAAACGTGCCTATACAGACAACATGTCAGTTTCAGATGCACAGCACAGGGCTTCCGCGTTTGCATCCCTAACCAAGTGACCCCAGTCCTCTGCGTCCGCAGGCGCCGGCTGGGCCCTGGCGTTCGCCCCTGCCCTGGGCACCCTCTCCCGCTACTTCTCCCGCCGGCGAGTCCTGGCCGTGGGGCTGGCACTGACGGGCAACGGAGCCTCCTCGCTGCTCCTGGCGCCGGCCTTGCAGCTCCTCCTGGATACTTTCGGCTGGCGGGGGGCCCTGCTCCTCCTGGGCGCCATCACCCTCCACCTCGCCCCCTGCGGCGCCCTGCTGCGACCCCTGCACCTGCCCGGGGACCCTCCCGCCCCGCCCCGCGGGCTCCTCGCTGCCCTCGGCCTGGGTCTCTTCGCGCGCTCAGCCTTCTTAGTTTTTGCTCTGGGCACAGCCCTGGTGGGGGGCCGGGTACTTCGTCCCCTAAGTGCATCTGGCCCCTCACGCTTTAGACCGGGGCCTGGCGGGGTACAGGGCCGCGCTGGTGGTGGCCGTGGCCGCGGTGGGGGATGCGGGCGCCCGGCTGGTCTGCGGGTGGGTGGCGGACCAGGGCTGGGTGCCCCTCCCGCGGCTGCTGGCGGTGTTCGGGGCTCTGACGGGGCTGGGGCTGCTGGCCGTGGGGCTGGTGCCGGTGGTCGGGAGCGAGGAGGCCTGGGGGGGCTCCCTGCTGGCCGCGGCCGGGGCCTACGGGCTGAGCGCAGGCAGCTACGCCCCGCTGGTGTTCGGAGTGCTCCCCGGGCTGGTGGGCATCGGAGGTGTGGTACAGGCCACGGGGCTGGTGATGCTGCTGATGAGCCTCGGGGGGCTTCTGGGCCCTCCGCTGTCAGGTAAGGGCCTGACTGAGCCAGCAGATCCCCACCCCCACCCCCATCCTGGGGTCCGAGGCCTCTCAATTCCTTTCCCCTTCCTCTCAGGCTTCCTCAGGGATGAGACCGGAGACTTCACGGCCTCCTTCCTCGTGTGTGGCTCCTTTGTCCTCTCAGGCAGCTCCATCTACCTGGGGCTGCCTGGGGCGCTGCCCTCCTGCAGTCCGGCCTCACCTCCAGCCACCCCTCCCCCTGAGAGGGGGGAGCTGCTCCCAGCTCCTCCGGGGGCCCTGCTGTCCCCAGGAGGCCCGCATGCCACTGCCGACACCTCCTGTTGACCATTTTCTTTTGGTGTGAGCCCCTCCCTCAATAAAAAATTTCCAATGTGTCTGCAAGCTCCAATTGTTAGCCCATCTAGGACGCTGAAAACTTTCTACTTAAGATATTCAAAAGGCCGCTCGGAAGGAACAGGATCCCACTAAGCCTGGGAGAGAGGCAGGTATCTGTCTAGTCAGTCCATTTCTCTTTGCCCACGTTGTTGCCATTATAACGGGGCGTCTTTGAGAAGTTGTCTGCCTGCCAGCTTCAATTTGTTTGAGGGAGAGGGAGCCTCATGGGTGCCGTCTGCCCCATCCTCATTTCCTTTACTCAGAACTCTTCCCGCATCTCAACCTCCTTCTATTGGCCTGCGGTGAATTCAAGAATCCTAGACCCAGACGTAGGCTCTCTGAGCTTAAGTGCTCCCTACCAACCCCCCACCCCCCCACCATGTCCCCACCATTTCCTTCATTTCTCATCTAAGTCACAGGGGCTAGTGGGAAAGAGGGAGGTCAGTGGGCAAGTGGGAGGAACTGTGGTCCAGAGAGCAGAGTCCAGGGTTAAAATGCTTGGAGTCCCCAGAGCTCCTGGACACCTCCCCTCTACCCCTCCCCCACACCAGCCACGACCCCACTCAACCAACCCAAGCATTTGGGCTCCAGTTCTTTCTGAGCTTCTGATTATTATCCAGTTTTCTTATCCAATTTTATCTCAAAGGGGCATCCCTCATCCCCAAACATCTGTCTTCAGAGAAGAAGTGTAGTAGGCAACACTAGAGATTGATCACTTGTAAAACATAATAAGTCTCTTGGCCTTTGATTTTCACAGTTGATTCACGGCTCACTGGAGCAGGCTGAACTCTTGGATCCTGCAGAAATGGTTGTGGAAGCCAAGAAGAGATAAGAGTCCTCAACAAAACACTAGGAGTTGGCACACACATCGCAGGAGCCCTGGGCAAGCTGTGGTGGAAGACAGATCAAGATGCTGAAGGCACTGTGGTTCTCTGGGCATCAATATGGGGCAGAAGACCCGGAGCTGCCAATCTCTGGCTTTCCGGGTCTTTTTGGAGTTCAGTTCTCTCCCAGCCCTTCCTTCGCAGGGGGACTTTGGTATCCGGTGCCTCTGTGCCAAGGTCCTGGGGCTTGGAGGTAGGAGCTGAGACGCAGAAGAAGTGGGGCAGAGTGATGAGAACTCCACTCCCTGCAAGAAGGAAGGCCCCGGCCACCACAAAAGAAGCTGTGTAGTTGCCTGTCACATCCCGGAGGTAGCCTACATCCAAGAGAGAAAAAGAACACACATGGGTGATCTGTTTCCTGGGACCGACGGCTCAGACATATTTTTGGGCGGAAGGAGGAAAATAATCTTTAATCTACCATCTTGGAAGAGTTAGAACTGCCAAGGTAGGACCAGATGCTCTTTACAACTCTGGTGTCCCATGGGGCTTCAGAGGTCATGTCCATCACCTCCCTGCCTTCAGGAAGGCCCTCCTTATCAGCCAGTGGGGATTTGGGGATCCAGATTGAGGCAGGCACACCTGTGTCTTTCTTTCCGGCAACTGTGGCCCTGTCATCTAATGGTCAGTAGCTAGGGTCTGAAGGTTTTGGCATCTGAAGGCTGGAGAACTTTGACCACATGGCTCAGACATCTGAGCTGGGGCCAAATGGGCCAAGGGTAAGAGCAGGTCCAGACAAGTCTGAAAATCCAAGCGACAGGTATCCTACCAAGGGCTCCGCAAAGCTCATTTGAGTTTTTCCACAGCCCCAATTTCTTTGTCTCATGGACCCACTTCAGGGCTGCTATGATTGGTTATACAGGCCATGTAGGAGACCATACCATGTAAAGGGCAATATTTACATTCACTATAATGTGAATAGTACCCTCCCTGAATGGTATGACATGGCATCTCTGGCCATCTGGAAACCCCATTCCCCTTACCTGACAGAGGAGCCCCCAGCAGTCCCCCGATGCTTTCCACCATCTGCACCAGTCCCAGGCCACAGTATATCCTTCCAGTCCCCACCAGTTCAGGCAGCATGGAGAAGGCCAATGGGGTCAGGGCCCCTGATGTAAAGCCATAGGCCACGGCCAGAGCCACCAGGGCTGTGGGAGCCTGGGCCATGGGGAACAGGGCCAGTGACACCCCGGTCAGGGTGGTCCAGAGCATCAGGAGTCGTGCCACAGGCCCTGGGACTATATCCCCTAGCCACCCAGAAACCACACGCCCCACGAGGTCAGAAATAGCAATCACCGAGAGGAGGAAGGCAGCGGGCAGTGGATCCCAATCCAGGTCCTGGAGATGGGCCACCAGATGCACATAGGGAATGAAGTAGCCGGTGTTGACCAGGGTGAGGGCGACAGTGTAACGGAGGAAGGGGCCATGATGGAGGAGGGAGGCGAGTTGGGCCCCAGGGTCAGCCACAGCAGGGTCCTCAGTCAGGGAGAGTGGGCGGAGGAGAGCACCACAGGCCACCAGATGGAGGGAGATGGCAGACACCAACAGTAGGGTGCCCCGCCAGGCATAGGAGCTGAGCAGCCATTGGAAGAGTGGGGCAAAAGCAAAGGAGGAGAGGCCCACGCCAGTCAGTGCCAACCCCATGGCCAGGGATCGCAGGCGAGAGAAGTAACGAGACAGGCAGGCAAGTGTTGGTGTGAAGGTCAAGGCCCACCCAGAACCTGTAAAAAAAAAAAAATAAATAATAATAATAATAAGAGAAAGAAAAAGAAAAGATAAAGAAATGATGGCCCTAGCTGGTTTGGCTCAGTGGATAGAGCGTCGGCCTGCAGACTAAAGGGTCCCAGGTTCGATTCTAGCCAAGGGCACATGCCCAGGGTTGTGGGCTCGATCACCAGTAGGGGGCCTGCAGAAGGCAGCCCATCAATAATTCTCACTCATCATTGATGTTTCTATCTCTCTCTCCCTCTCCCTTCCTCTCTGAAATCAATAAAAATATATATATTTTAAAAATGGTGGTTTTGGGACTCGGGAGTTCAGGGCGCCCAGTAATCCCAATATTGCCCAGCAGCAGAAGGTAGCACAGGTCTGGTTACAATCCTGGCTTTGATACTATCTAGCTGTTTGACTTTACTTAATCTCCCAGCCTCAATCCCCTCATCTGCCAAATGGAGGTAATACACTTTATGGGACTGTAGAGACCTAGAGATAATGTTTTTAAAGTAGCCCGCACAGAATTTGGGAGTTGCACCTAGGCCCTACTATTTCTGGCTGTGTGATCTTCATTTGCCAAGTTTCATAAGCTTCTGAAGCCTTGCTTCATCTGTAAATAGGGTAGAGAAGGCCATCACGAGAGACAACAAAGGTCACTGCATAATACTAAAGGGATCGATCCAACAAGAGGCTATAACCCTGGTAAACATATATGCACCCAATATAGGAGCACCTAAATATATAAAAAAAACTGTAAGCAGGATAGATATCTGTTTTACAGTCACAGTGCCTGCCACAACTATATACTATGTAATTCTTCCTTTTGCACTCCAGCCCCACTAGCTCCGGGCTTGCATACTGTGGACTCATTATCTCTGAAAGTCTAAACCGCCCCACCAAGTTTATTAAATGAGTCATCCCTCCTAATTCCCTTCGGGGCACAGGTGTTATTCAAAACTTTCTCTCAGCGTCTCCTGAAGTCTTTTGGAAAGACTAGGAGGAAGGTGAGAGTCCAAAGACTCAGGCATTTGACTTTCCTGCCCTACCCAGGGCCTCACCTGAGAGCAGCCCAATACTCAGGTACAGGTGGGTCAAGGAGGTAGCGAAGGAGGCCAGCAGCATCCCCAGCGCCGCCAAGATGCCCCCAGCCATCACCACTGGCCTTGGCCCGAACTTCGTGCTCAGGGCACTGCCCACGGGGCCTGGGGAGGAGGAGGGCGTTCTGTGAGAAGACTCCAGGCATCCTTCTCCGGCATCTCCCCCATCTCCCCGCTCCTCCCTTCCTGTCCCCGCATTCCCTCTCCCTCCCGAGGGTCTGGGGACACCGGCCCCAGGCGCAGCACTCACTCCCAAACTGCTGCACGGCGATGCCTATGGAGGCGATCCAGGAGACGCGCGCGGCCGGCTCGTCAAACGCCGCCACGAACTCCACGAAGAAGACGCTGAAGGAGCGGAGCACCCCGAACACCAGCGCCGATTGGAAGAAGGCCGAGAGGACCACCATCCACCCCCAGCCCCCGTCTGGGGGCTCGGTCCTCCGCGCCATGCGGGAGGTCACCGAGCTGCGGGTCCGAAAGCCCTGGTGGGAATCAGGCTCGGGACCTCCACCTCCGCCCGCCCCCGGCCACGCGGGGGCAGGAGAGCGGGGCAGAGAGGAAGGTACCGACGAGGGCTCGCGAGCTGGCTGCAGAGAGGCTGCGGGTGCGCCTCCCCCCGGCGGGAGCGCTGGTGTCGGGAGAACCGGCCAGAGCTGGCCCGCCGGGTGATTAGCGCCCAGGGGCGTGGCTGCGCGGGCCGGGGGCGGAGAATCGAGGCCCGGGCGGGGGATGATGGGCGGGTGGCGGGGGATGGGGAGCAGCGGTCCGTGGACCAGCCAGGAAGCGGCGCAGGGTTCGCGCTCTTCCCTGGAGGCGCACCATTCTCCGAGCGGCTTCTCTATTGTATCATTGCAAGTGGCAGCATCAGGCCGGCCTGGCCAAGGCCGACATCCTCGCTCCCGGGACTCCTGGGCGGAGCCAGGCGGGCAGGGCGGGCTTTCAGCTTTGTTGGGGTCGCGGTGGTGAGTGGGAGCATGCGTAAAGGGGGAGCTTGAGGAGGTCAGTGAGGTGGGCCCCCCGGTGACGCGGGGACCTGCCCGGAGGCTGCTGCCGTCTCCTGTCCCCCTAGCAGGCCGGTTCGTCCAGATCTCAGCACCCAGGCCCGCATGTGAGGAGTGCAGAGGGGTTGGTGGGGGGTAAACTGGTTCAGGAGCGGAAAGCAATCCCTTGCCTCATGAGAGCCCAGGAGTTGCAAGGCCTGGTGGCGAGCGCAGGGATTAGGCGATGAGATTAAAATAAAATGCTCCGAGCTACTCGGGTCACTAGAATCTAGATCCCCCGGGTCCCTGAGGGGTTCCGGGCCCCAAGAAGGAGACAAGGGGAATGGGTTGGAACTCCTGGCGTTCATTTCTGTAATGTCGCTTCTGTTCCCACCAACAGGAAACCTACAGGTCACAGAGACCAAAAATAACCGGGGAGAGGAAGGGCGAGCCTGCCAGCATCAACTACCCTCTCTCCAGCGGGGCTAGAACACTTGCCCCTGCCCCTCGAGTAAAACCGCTTCCTAACCTCGGTTTTGCATCTCACGATCATCTACTAAACAGCCAAGCCAGGACCACCGGAGCAATCTGCCCCTCCACCTCCTAGAGCACGAATGGCCCGGCTCCCCATTTCTTCACTGTAATTCAAGCCCCCCAGGACCCTCACCTTGAAACTTGGACTCAAAGATTTATACCCGACAAGTGGGGGATGGGGAGGGAGGGAGGCTGTGTAATTTAAAAAAGCATATTGAGCCTTATAGTTTTATATGTGGGAAATAAAAATAGTCCTACCCCCCAAAACTTTTTTTTTTGGAAGCAGAGTCAGAATTTTGGGTGGTGGGAGAATATGCCAATGGCATAGAAATTGGCGTGAGGATATAACCTAGTAGTTAGAGTGCAGCTGTAGAATCATAGTTCCAACCTCAGCTTCATCACGTATTAAGTTGGCCAACCAAGATACTGAGTCTCTTCCTTGTTTTCCCTACAAGTAAATGGGGGGTAATAACAGCACCTACTTTTTAGGGTTGTCAGGGGAGGTGAATTAGAAAACCTATGCACTAAAATGCTTAGTTGAGGGCCTGACATGTAGCAAGAATATTAGCTGGTCTCCTTTGCAACAGGGGATAAACTGTAGCGGGAGAAGAGAGGTTTTAGTTGCTAAGTTTCACTTTTTGCTTTTTAATAAAATAATCCAGGTCATGGGTTTTATAAAAGACCGAAATACACAACCACAAACTGTAAATATGTTGGAAGCAGCTGCAGAGACCATGATAATAGACTTATTTCACAGATGAGTAATTTAAGTCCAAAAGGAAGGTAACTTCTCAGAATTAGTGACCTCCTACCTTCTACCCACAGGGCAGAACAGAGCTGTGCACCCAGAACACACACAGGACAGGGGACAGGGTGGGAGAGAAGCAATCGCTGGGCGATGGATAAATTCCAAGACACCATTGCTGGGGGAGGGGTGGAGTTGGCATGTTTCTAACCACATAGCCTTCCCACTGCTACCTCCAGCCCCTGTTGTCCTCGGGGGACCCAACCCCTACCCCCCCTTTTTTTTTGGTGATAGTGGTGCTAGGGGTGTCCCAGCACAGATGCATTCCCCCAGTGTCCCGGCATTATTAGTGGCTTCCTGGTTTCTCCCTGCCGCCTCCACACTTCAGGCAGGAAGTGACTTCAGAGCAGCAGGAAGCAGGTGGCTCCGGAGCACTTCATGAAGTCACTGGTTCCTGCACCATGAGCCAGAAGGCAAGGGCAGGGGAGGGGAGAAACGGGCCATTTGAAAAGTCTGGTGGGATGGGCACACAATCGCCAGATGGGCCCCAGGAGGGAAAGAACCCGCTTTCTCTAGCTTTACGCAGTGCCAGGGTCGCCAGGCAAGAACCCCAGGACACAGCAGGCAGCACAGAGAGGCTTCTTTATTCCATGATTCTGATCTTGCAAGATCTAACATCTCCACCCCTAGGCACTCTCCACCTGCCCATCCAGTCTGCTATAAAATAAAATAAAATAAAAACCATGGTCCCCCCTCGCATCTCTCTTCTGCTCTCTTCCTGCAAGTCTGCAGTGGGGGGTAAGAGGGTAAAGAGTAGCTTTTCTCACCAGTTTCCAAATGATAGCCACTAGTACTGACCTATCTTGAGGAAGCTCTACCCCACAAATTCAAAGTTCTTCTTCCCCTCTTCCCCATGCCCCATAACCAAACAGGCTCCATGGCAAAAGGGGTGGGACTGTAAGTCAAGGCTTCAGGGCATCATCTAACATTCCAGACCTTCTGCCCAGTTAAGAGGCAACCCCATTCCTAACTTTCTACCTCCTTGACCTACACCAGAAACTGCACCCCTCAACCAGCCTCTAAATTCTACCTGGATCCTTGGTCCACTAGAAGGTCCATCAGTCAGTCAATCTTTTAAATCTTCTAAACCTCTAACCCCAACAATAATCCCAATCATAATCCCAAACTATATCAAACCCCAAATGGAACTCAGCCCCTTTTCTCTCCCCGTGGAAGGTCCTAGTGCATTCACTGTTCCGGACAGGAATACAGTGATGGGAAGACCAGGTCACAGACCCAGCTTTTCTAAGATAAGAAAGTTACCAAGCACCTGTGGCTTCTAGAGGCAAAGAAGTTTCTGGAATCTGGACATTTGTCAGAACATGTCCAGAAACCCACTGAGGGAAGAAGGAGTTTGTCTCAGGTAGAGAGAACCCCAAGAGACATTCAAGCCCAGATGCCTTAGCATCAAAGGACTGGTCAAGATAAAGAGTTTCAGATAAAGAGTTTCATAACTCTGCCGTAGGTCATAACATTCTTAGAGGTGGGGCAGAGTCAGAAAAGACGGCATCATCTCTAATAAGGAATTTCAGAACTCAGTGCTGACAACAGGCCCTAGTGGGAGGGTTGTGAGCTCTATCATGACAGACACAGCCGAGGCAAACCTAGGGGAGCAGATGAATGGGACAGTTAGGTGTCTAAGAAAAAGCCTCTCCAACCATCCCCCCAGTTCCAAGACTGACAAAGCCCCACACCCACAGCCCTCAGGAGGCATTTATTACCTGCATTTCAGGCTCACCTTAAAGGTCCCATAGCCCTTGCAGAACAGAGAAACGTCTATCCAGTTCTAGCCTGCTAGAGAACCTAGAACAGGGGTCCTCAAACTTTTTAAACAGGGGGCCAGTTCACTGTCCCTCAGACCGTTGGAGGGCCGGACTATAGTTTAAAAAAAAAACTATGAACAAATTCCTATGCACACTGCACATATCTTATTTTGAAGTAAAAAAACAAAACGGGAACAAATACAATGTTTGTATTTGCATGTGGCCAGCGGGCCGTAGTTTGAGGACCCCTGACCTAGAATATCCAGAACCAGAGAGGGTTCCTGACCCAATTCCACAAACCCACATGTTCCCAGAGCTGCCCTCGGACAAATAGAGGTTCCAGACCTAGAATCGGAGGGGCAGGACACAGAGCATCCCTTTTTCCATTTTCAACAAACCATCAAGCA